ACTGCCGCAAAACAAGAGAATTGCTGTAATGGATTTGAGGAAAGAAAGGGCCGGAAACCTCTGCTGGATTGGGTGGTGATGGTGGTGATCCTTCTATTGCAGTGNCCGCCACCGCCACCGCCACCGCCATCACCACCACCACCACCACCCGCTAGGGACTCGGACCCGAAAGAGACTGCGTTGGCAACGGCCAGCAGCATATACAAAAGACAGACCCGTCCTCTCGTGAGAGAGGACGCCCCACAAAACGAAGACCGTATGAATGAATGTATAAGGGGTGGGCCTTAACCAAGACCGTAACTGTCAGACAGCAATAAATATCGACACCTAGACTTACTGACTGAGACTTTGACTTTGACTTTGACCGGTCAGTTTTTAATGTAACTCCGACTAGAGTGATTGTCCAATAAACGTCTTACCCAAATCCGAGACCAGCGTGAATTTACTTGTCGCGTTACACAGGCAACACGGAACAGTATATTAATAGTAAGGGCTCAATAAACTTACGTGTCCTTTCATCCGAGACGAGTGAAAAATTATGCAGATGAGTGAAAAGATCTTCAGTAGTGTTCGTTAATATTCTAGCACGCCGTATTTTTATACTTACTACAGATTTTGAAGAATACATTTGAGGTACCTTGCCTGTCACAGGGACAGCATTTTCTCTGTCCTGTGCGTTAGGTGATGGTTTGGAGCAATTACAGCGCCTTTGAATAGTATAACTTCTCATGCAGAGAAATAGCTTGCTACTGTCTCAGACAAGTTTGAGGATACGTCACGCTTTAAGTAACCTTATGGAAGGAACATAGCAATGTTCCTATGGTGATATAATGATCTACATCACCACCTGATGATGACAGACCCACAACAGTATTTCGGACGCTAACTTCTAACTTCGTGAGAAGCCGCTTATTGTGCAGCTACTCAAGAATTTCTCAGCGTTTTGTGGAAGCCGAAAGTTCATTACCCTGTTCATAAGAGCCATCCACTGGTCCCTATCCTGAGCCAGATCAATCCAGTCCATACTATCCCATCCTATTTTTCTAAGATCCGTTTTAATATTGTCCACCCATCTACGTCTTGGTCTTCCTAGTGATCTGTTTCCTATCCCATCCTATTTTTCTAAGATCCGTTTATAATTGTCCACTCACATACGTCTTGGTCTTCCTAGTGATCTGTTTCTTTCTGGCCTTCCTACTAGTATTCTAGATGCATACCTCTTTGACCCATTCGTTCTACATGCCATGCTAATCTCACTCTCCTTAACTTGATCATTCTAATTATATTTGGCGAAGAGTACAAGTTATGAAGCACCTCATTATGCAGTTTTCACCAATCTCCTGTCACTTCATCTCTCTTAGGTCTAAATATTCTCCTCAGCACCCTGTTCTCAAACACCCTCAGTCTGTGTTTCTTCCTTAATGTCAGAGACCAAGTTTCACACCCATAAAGAACATATTTCGGACACAGAGTAGAGGAATTTTTGCGGGCTGGTGATCTGAGGTAACATTTATCAATACCGACTGGCCCTCAGGGACATGGGTGGTCATTTATGGAGGAAGAGGAATTCGCCTACGTGTTGAGAAAGGATTTGTATATAGGTAACATTAAATCCACACCTAACCCTATGGAGTTTTGAGAAGACGTAAGGATATAAGCCTCGAGGTAGTGAAACAAGTAACTCGAGATCTGTGAGGTGTGTGTCGCCCGGATGAGGGGAAAGCAGTTGCTCTCGAGGGATATGTCAGAAATATGTCCTCCACAACTTATTTTTCCCTCTCCCTTCTAGAAACGAACTTGTGGATTTGCCTCAGTGGTTGGTTATCTCGTGTGGAGATGCAACTTTGAGGACAGAGAGGGAAGGGAAGAGGCTGTAAATATATACGAAACTTTTCTCTTCTTTGCTTTATTTGTTTATAAGAAGACATGTTGTCCTGTCTGGAATAACGAATAGGGGGCAATACGTTCTTTGTGTGTGTTTCATACTGCATTGCCATACGCAGAGCGTGACAATGTGACATGAGGACACTTATGTCCTTTAGAAATCCTATGGAACGTGTGGGCCTTTAAAGACGTTTTTGTATCACCCATACCGTAAGACTTTTATTGTATGTTGAGCTGATTTTCCGTGTACCTGTTTGGCTACTTGGTATAACCGAAGAATATTATCTTGGACGTGACATCGTATAGTCCGATAAAAATTCACCGACGTTTCGGAGGAACGTACTATCCTCGTAGCCGAACAATAAGCCTAATGAAGCAATCAAGGCAAGCGGGAAACTGACTTATTAACCCATCTACGCCTAAATATTTTTGTTACAAGAACTTACTTTCCCATGCCTGCTACATGGTCGCCTATCCCATCCTCCTTTCAAACAAAAAGAAAACAATCTCCGTGGCTTGTAGTCCTCAAGCGAGCTATACCGACCGAGCCACCGCCTCTTATCAGCAAAGTTAGTGCCAACTTTAGCGGGTAGAGGGTATCACGTGGTAAGCGCAACGGTTCCCCACTGCCGTTAATCTTGGTTTTCTAGACCGGAGCCGCTATGCTTGAAATAGCTCCTCAGTTATGCTCACGAGGCTGAGTGGACCCCGTTCTAGATCTACTACTTCTCAAAAAATCTGGTAGAGCCGGAATTCTAACCCGGGACCTCTGGATCTGTAGCTAGGAAATCTGATCGCTAGACCACAGAGGACGTCAACCTCATTATCCTTTACACAAGTTAAAGAGAAGCTAAGGCTGAAAATAATTTGAAGCAGAAAGGAAAGAATGGATAGAGAAAAGAAAGTACAAATTTGTAGAAAGAAGACATCGGAGCAAGGAAGTAAGTTTGGGAAGGAAAGTGAGGAGGGGGAGATGATGTATGGGACAGTAATGGAAGAAGAGGAATGATATTACGAAAAAATGTTCTGGATTGGATTAATTAAAGAAATGAATAGAGAAGGGAACGCTATAAGGGAAGATAAAAGTATGAAGAGAGTGGGAGTAGAAAGGTGGAAAGGAATCAGATTTAAAATAGTAAGTCTGTATGGATGGGATTTCAGTTGTAACACTCGTCCAATCAGAGGTAGTTGTTTCTGACTACCCTTTCCGTCATTTTATTTGATGAATTTTCTTGTATAAGAGCAAAATTGTAACGTAATGTAAAACAAAGTTGAAGAAATTTGATTGAGATCGCAAAGTATTCAGCTGAATCTTAGTTAAAAGCGGGAACAGAGAGAGAGAGAAGTTTGCTGGAATTTCCATTTTTCACTTGCTTCTGGCACGAGTCGTAATAAGAAGACAGGTCAATTAGAAGAACCGGCTCACCCTCTTTCCGTCCCACGTGAACTAATTTATTCCCTGAATGTGTTTTCCTTCTACGTTAAAAATATCTAGGAGGAAAGATATTTGAGATGGGCAGAGATTGAAGACACTTTTATGCCATTTTATTTTCCGAAACATCTCTTTCGGTATGTTTATGAAACATTATATTGTGGCATGACGCCCGAAAGTCGGAATAGTGAAGTCAGAATAGACGTTCATTGCTAAACAACGAGTCTGTAATCACAAACTTCTGTTACTAAGCAACGGCGCTCTAAACACTCCTTTCTAACAGTAGAAAGGCTGTGTTTTCTGCGTGGTTCTTGAAAAGTGGTTATAAAGAAGAATTCAATTGAGAAGAATTGAGTAAAATTTCGAGACACCATCCTGCTAGGATATGAGCTTTGGAGCAGAGGAATAGAACTGAGTCAAGTCTTCAGAATTGGCAGTTGCAAGAAAGGAATTAGGCTGTGGAAAGAAGACTTCATGTGTGATTTGAAGAGACAGCGAGACTGTTATAAATCCGTTTCCCGGATACGACTAGTGAAGACTGAGAACCATAGTGCGTGTGTAACAGTGAACTGTAAGGTGTGTAGAACAGCGATAGCGCTGTATTGCCTGTAGTCCCGAGTAGTGTGAATAACGTGTAAATAAATCCAGTCCTTTTTCCTTGGCACTACAGCCCCAGTGGGTCTAGGCCTACCTCCATGAACTCCGTTTACTTCGGTTTTTTTAGATCTTACACATTCGGTAGGACTCCTTGGGCGAGTGATCAGCTCGTCGCAAGGCCTCTACCTGTAGACAAACACAGAAAAATGCACACAAATATCCATGCCCTGAGTGGGATTCGAACCCACGATCCCGGCTTCCGAGCGAGCGAAGACAGTGCATTCCTTAGACCGCTCGGCTACCGTGACCGGCAATAAATCCAATCATCAAATACAAATCCCTTCTATATGTCACGCACAACTGTGAAAGTTAAAGTTGTGTTACGACCGACAGTCAGTTGGCCAGCCTGTCTTGGTGTCAAACTCCATCTTGGGCCAAAGACCAGATTTTTTTACTGTCAGGCAGTTGCTGGTTTGTTGATGTGGGGCGCCCTTTCCGACGAGAGGATGGGTCTGTCGTATACAAACTGATGCTGGTCCTCGCCAGAGCAGTCATTCTCGGGTCCGAGCCCGACCATATTTTACTGTCTCAGATTCGAGACTCCCCCAACCTTGAGCGCCAGGTCCCTGTATTTTCCCCCCACTAATTGGATGGCCCAGTTGTACCCCCACGCTCTGGGTTCCGTTTACGTCGCCTTCTACGGCTTGCTTGGCTATCGCGGGCACGTGTTTACCGCGCCCTTCCGTATCAATGACCACATCTCTTCGTTCCACTATTCCTGCTTTCAGTCGTCATGTCACAGTATCGGAACTAATTGAGTGTACACGTAGTAGGGGTATATACACATTAAATTGTTCCAGCTGTAAATTCCAGGCCTCAGGAAGAGCAATTTCAGCCAGAGTAACCGGTTCCCAGGAAGAACATAACAGATGAATATGTAACCTCTTCCCCCAGCATTTCCCTGAAGGATCTGAAATGTATTCTCAGTTCAAATATACAAGTTTCCCTGCCGAGAGTCGAAGTCATGATGCCCCACTTTGCCTTGACGTTCTGAATATAGCAAGACTAACTTGTAATCGTTACTCACGGCACTTATGTAATTGTAGAGAGTCAGTCCGTCTTTCCAGGGCTGTTCCAGCTCGCAAGAGAGGTTTGCAGGCCTGAGGACATGGCCTCTGTCCACGGCTGCCAACGCCTTAGCGAACACATATACAGAGTCGTACATCAAAGCGGGTTCCGCCTGTAATTAAAACCAGGATAACTGACGTAAGCAGAATGTTCCAAAAAGAAAGCCATGTCTTAAATACCAGTGATAATACAACTCCCAGTGTCAAGATCACTACTACCAGCAACGTGACCACACAGATTCGGCCCACTACCGGCCTCTTGACATTTAAGCAATTAATTTCCATAATATACAGAGTGTTCGGATGAAAGGTATCTGAAATAAAATATCCCAGAAATAATTTATTTTACACATTTATGGGTTACACCATTACAAGGAGAACTATCAACATTTTTTTCTTCTTAGCATATAACTTCCGTAAATTTCAGTGCCCTTGGTGGCACGACAAATATCCGGCAAGCTCTGCTTTCAGTAGACTTTTTTTTCCTTGGCATGAAGTTCCATGAAGTTCTCCGTTCACTTCGGGTTTTCTAGATATTACACATTCGATAGGACTCCTTGGGCGGGCGATCAGCTCGTCGCAAGGCCTCTACCTGTACACAAACACAGAAAAACGCACACACACACAAACTAAACATCCATGCCCTGAGTGGAATTCGAACCCACGATCCCGGTTTCCAAGCGAGCGAAGACAGTACATGCCCTAGACCGCTCGGCTGCCGTGACCGGCTTTCAGCAGACTACAAGGCGTTTTATCCCAGAAGAACCGTTCCTAATTCTGGTTAGATTAGATATGATTAAAATTGTGGAAGTTTGAAGACTGGGATGGCTGGAACACCTCATTCATCATTGGCAAAACAGCCCTGTTTGAGCCATAGCCTTCCTTAGAATAATCTGCCCGAATTTTGTGAATTAGACCATCCAGTTTTTAATTTCTCTGGATTTGGAACAATATTTTTTTATAGACCAAGGTCGTCATCTTAGCATATAACCCCCAACCTGGGTGCCAGGTCTTTGTATTTATGCCCCCAGTGACAGGGTGGTCTAATTATACCCCCAGGCATCGCCTTCTACTACTCGCAGGGCTATGGTGGGGTTATTCCAACCCACCTCCACATGGGCTAGACATCTCAGTAGAATAAATAAAGTGCATCCTAATGGAAGATTGGCCGGTCACGGTAGTCGAGCGGTCTAAGGCATGCACTGTCTTCGCTCGCTCGGAAGCCGGGATCGTGGGCTCGAATCCAACTCAGGGCATGGATGTTTGTGTTTTTCTGTGTTTGTGTACAGGTAGAGGACTTGCGACGAGCTGATCACCCGCCCAAGGAGTCCTACCGAATGTGTAAGATCTAGAAAAACCGAAGCGAACGGAGAAGTTCATGGAGGTAGGCCTAGGCCCACTGGGGCTGTAGTGCCAAGGGGGAAAAAAATGAAAGATTGAGAATTGCAGTACTGGAGGAATGGGGAGCCTGAGTAAAATCTAGCTGAACAGCGTTGAAATGGATCTGATAACACTTGAAATTTGTGGATGAAATGATAAATCGCTGGATAAGAACAAATCGTGGAGTAGCGTTGGGGAGGCTAAGACCTGTACCGGATCGTGGCCTTACAGAGGAAGACGGATAGCCCTACCGGATCCTTGTCATACTATAAATGCTTCAGAATAAATTTCTGTTTTCAGAGGTCCTGTGTTTTCCAGGGCACTCTCTGTTCAGACACTTGCAACTATCAGTACAAGTGACGAAATTTAATAACCGTAAAATACAAAGGCAGTTGAATGAGGCAGATGTAAAGGGCTTCTTCTTAATTTTGAGATAAACAGGTTAAAATTTAAAAACATAAAGGAAATTCCTTGCAGATGTTATTAGCCTGTTTAATTGTGATCCTTTTACTTGAAACATGGGAAAGTATCTGAGGTATAAATAAATTGCATATTAGTGCAAAGTTCTCTAGTTTTTAAGGTTTTCAGAATTTTTTATTGTGCTTCTACCCTTTTGCTATTAAGGCCTCGGAAATAGAACAAATGTAGACCCGTTTTGTAATTTATTTTACTTTATTTTATACCTTCATGTTGTCTTATAATATATCAGCATTTTCCCAGATATTTTGTAAGAGAAATGCATAATCTTTGAACAAAGGAAGATGAAAACTACTCTGAATCTGAAGAAAGCCGTTTTCTGGAATGTGACACCGTGCAGATATTGTATTAACCGACGTTTCGGAGGAACGTATCGCCTTCATCTTCAGGGTAGAAGAAAAAAGAAGAAAAATGCGCGAGCGAGGAGCCAGCGTGAGCAGGTACTGACAAACTGCTCACGCTGGTTCCTCGCTCGCGGATTTTCCTTTCTTTCTTCACTTTTTGCCATTACTTTCTCTTTCCTGTGTCCTTATGATAAAGGAGGGTGTGCTAGAATTTAAGATATACTCGTAGGATAAGCTGAAGTGCATTTATATCTGCGGTTTTAGTAATAATGAATTATTTGAACCAGAAAGTACATCACTGGTCGTGTTTACGACGAAGCCCCTTTGCAACAAAATACTTCAATTTTGTCATCATGCACTTCACTCTTTTTTTTTTTTTTGCCAAATATTATCACCTTTACCCTTTTTCATCTCACCCCCTCAATTTTACTTACTTAATTACTTTGAGCCCTTCTTGAAGAGCCGCCAAATCTGCAGCTACTCAAGAATTTCCCAGCATTTTATGGAACCCGAAGGTTTATTACTGTGTTCACAAGAGCCCTCCACTGGTCCCTATCCTGAGCCAGATCAAACCAATCCATACCATCCCGTCCTGTCTCTCTAAGGTCCAGTTTAATATTGTCCACCCACCTACGCCCTGGTCAATTTCACTTACGAATTATAATTTCCTTGTGGTTTATGGCTGTTAGGTGGTTTCTGCTAGTGAAGGCACCTACCTGGATGACACGGCTCTTGTTGAGGATGTTGTATCCGACAGGCTGGAACCGCTGTATTTGATCCAGCGTTCTCACAACTCTTGCGTCTTCCGAATCCACAAGACGGAAGGCTGTGATATTAACGGAGTTGTACTTGAAGTCCTCCAGATCGAAAGTCTCTATGTCCTGTAGAAGTAAATAAAAAGCAAACTCAAATCAGAGATTCCTTTTTTTTTTGTTTTGTTTTGTTTTTGTTTTGGTCAAGCGGTGACGTTTCATGATTTTATTCCCGAATAGAATCTCGGCTGGGATACTGACTATTCTCAGGGAGGTTTCTGGTGCTTTGTGCCAGTCCTTCCATACCAGTGCTTAGATAGCGCCACGGTTGTTTCCTTCCACTTCCTTTCTTATTAATTATTAACTAATCTTTTGACGAAATATAGTCTGAGTTACTAATAGCGTCTTTAAATAAGCCACATATAAATTTGCGCTACTATTTTTGCGCACGGCACATGAAATGAACGCAACCTCCCTGAACGTGAAGGGCGAATTTTGATTAAATTTGGTTTTAGAGAGTCACATTAAATGTTGCCGAAGAAATTTAATTTTGAGGCGTACTAGATAATTGTAATCCCTGCTCATGTGCTCCACATGAAGCCCAAATTTAAAATTTATTGATTTCTCCTAGTAGGAAAAGAGTACACAACAAAAGAAATGGATGGTGTAACTGAAAGTTGCGGACAAACTTTTGGGCACGAGTTCCACATACCAAGGCAAGAACAAGTGTTCATATCGACGTGTTCCCGCAAACATTTAATTTGTTTGTTACGGATGTTAGTCATATCTCACAAGACTATACTTTTGTTGTCTTCATTAAAATAGGAAGTCCTACAGGCATTCAACAGATCTCCGCCCTCCTTTAACGACAAGAAACTTTTTTCGTTAATCCAAATTTATTTGAGTCATATTTCACCCCCCCCCCCTTAATTCAGTTTTGGGGTCTGTATATCGGGCTCTGTCGATGAAGTGACCGCACGGCCTGAGGCATGAACTGTCCTCGCTCGCCCAAACGCTGTGATTGCTCCTTGGAATCTCACTCAAGGCATTGATGTTTGTACTGTGTGCGTTTATTCTGAATTGTTGTTCTGTGTATAGGTAGCGGTCTCGCGACTGGCTGATGCCCCGTCACGTGAATCCTACCGACTGTATGTAAGAAACTGAAAAAGTGGCCAAGGCCCAACAAAAGGACTGTAAGTTCAAGTTGTCCCTGTACTTAACTAATTAAGCACTACTACACCATGAAAGCATATGGGGAGTGGATATATAGATCCACATTTTCTTGACATCGGCACTAGCTGGAGGTGAGTGGTCAGCTTCAAGCCCCGGCCGCTTTACCCCTTGAGTAAGAGCCCCGGTATCTATTGGATAGGAGGTTGGGTGGACCCCAAAGCAGGCTTGGGAAACGTCGAGAAGAGAAAATTCTTGACCCTATTGGGACTCGAGCTCCGACCCTTCGGCCGTCCAGCCCGTAGCCAGTCGCTATACCGACTACGCTAACCGGGCTCCAGAAAATGACTGTAGAGTCATAGATATATAGATATCAGGCTGTAGGCTTACCACATATCTGCCTCATTCACCCATTAATTTTTAATACTAAGATGTTTAAAATCTTAAGATCACAATGAGGTAATCATTGGAAAACCACCAGGATTGCGTACCAAGCGATTTATAACGAATGGATTACATTGTGGCATTGGGTATGTGACTTATTGCTGGTAGAATTTGGAGCCTTTAATTCAAAATAAACATTATACATACCGAAGTTAATGTAAGCACGAATATAAGAGGGAATGCAAAGTGACTTCTGTTCATTTACATTTGACAAGGGCTGCCACTACGTTTAACATAGAAAGCGCAGCTGTTGTCGAGTAAATATGAAATAATTGTCAATGTTTTGAATCTACAATTAATTCTGCAATTTTGTGCTCCGGTATTCAAACCTTGTCTTCTGGGTACAATAGCTAAAATTTATAATTTTTAGATTATTTTTTTAATCAATACAGTTCTTTAATGCGGCGTACAATTTTTATTTTTTCTGTCTCAATAATTGTATTAACAGTTCACCAGTTCTGAAAAAAATACGTAGGAAGTAAATTCAACCACCGCAATGTAACCAAACGTCGCTGTTGAATGCATACTTCTAAAAACATAGACCCATCCTCTCGTTAGAGAGGGCGCCCCACAAAAACAAGACCGAAACTGTCAAACAGTAATAAATATCTGGTCATAAGCCACAGATTGGGCTCGACACCAAGACTGACTGACTGACTAACTGACCGTCAGCCGCAATATGACTTTGACTTTGACTTCTCCTATTTTGTATTCTGAACGTCCTAGAATCAAATCTCGACTCGGAGACCTGTCACTCTGTTTGAGAGTTATCATAATTTTTCAGTTCGTGCTGGTACTTAAATTAGACCAAGGTCATTTACTTAACGCATTCCTTTCCAATTAATGATTTAGTAATCATCTTATCGTTCAATGTGAGGCCTATCTTAACAACAATGAATAAGCCACTATTATTTGCGAATCGTCATTTTCATCAAGAACGTCTAACATAATTTTTGTGATTCTGTATTTGAGCTTCCTGTTCCAAGCCATATTAAAATGTCTCTGTGCAACTTTTATATAATTGAGGAGCTATTTCAACGAAATAGCGGCTCCGGCCTAGAAAACCGAAATTAACGACCATGTGGATCCATTGCGCTGACCACGCGACACTCTCTATCCGCTAAAGTTCGCACTGATTTCACCGACAAGCGGCGGTCGCTCGGTCGGTATAGTTCGCTTGCGGACTAAATCCGCAGATTTATAGTTATGTATAACTTTCATGGTTTGCATCCTGTTGTGTGTTCGCTAATCGTGTAAATTAGGCCGTCAGCACAACATGAAAGTATCTTCAAGCTGACGACGAATTAGTTTTTCTTGTAACTTGTAGTGACTAAGCATGGGATTTGTATTGGAATTGGATTTATTGAACACTTACAAATCGTAACTGCAAGTAATTTTTACGTTTTCACTAATTCGTCCACTCAACCTCTCAATACAGCACACGATAAGTCTTATATCCACTCACTAGCCGTTGCCTGGTAACGGCTCCCAACAGCATCATCTGTTTCCGCCTTTACCTACCGGCTACTGTTTCATAGCTAACTAACTGTCCATTATAAATAAACTCAGCTACTAGCCATGATTGACTCTACTGGCTCTCACAGACCGTCAACTTCTATTTAATGCAACTGACTTGACTGCTAAATTGCTGCTGGGCCTCACCAGCACATGATTCTTGGTTCCAAGTCCCACGGGACTCATGACTATGTTTTCTGTTTGACGGCTCTGGGAGCCTTCCGACTGCCAACGCAGAGTTGGAGTTGTTTTACGACTGGAGGTTTACCGTCAATAATTTCGTCTTGGCTCCAAGCCCCTTGAGGATCACTACCAGAGATTTTGGTTTTGCAATTGAACCCTTGAGGTCATAGTCCTTATGTAACATCATCTGTGACGAAGAAGACGGGTTTGTCTCTTATGAATATGCTTCGCCTTTGTCAAGTGTACGTATGACACTTGTAGGTCTGCGTGGTTATAGGGAATGCCTTTTCTTCCCTGCTATGGTGTGTAAGAATTCCTAATTTGATTTTAATGATACGTAGAGTAATATTAAAAATTCTTAGAATTTTCTGAAGGAAGTTGAAATGAGTGCTTGAAATTGCCTTACTGCTCTCTGTAGGTAGATCATTAACAAAGTCAGTGAAGAGGAAAGAATGAGCAATTTCAACATAAAATATCAAAGCTTGTACTTAAAATCTTAATTTTCTCGGATAACGAAGATATCCATAGATTAGGCTGCACACCTGTTTGTGCAGCCTAAAATTGCTCGTAAACAGACACCATGCTTATCAGAATTCTCTCAGAAATAGTTCAATATAAAAAAAAATCTCGCGCATATGAATGAATCGTGAAAGATCTTGTGACACATGTTTTCTCTGAAATTTTCTTGTCTAAATATATGGGATAGCAGAGCTGGGATAGCTTAGTCGAAAAAGTTACTATGTGTCAGTCTGAACGACTACAGAATCAATGTTTATTTTATGCATATTGCCTGCTGCGTGTATATGCGTCACTGGAAGTTTATCGAACATGATAACAATTCCGCGCAGTCTCCCTGCCCATGATGTTTTACAAAATCACAGAAAATGAAACACGATTTAGACCACAAAGAATTTATGGACTTGGCTTTGTTTCACAAGGAATATATGGGCCTAGTTCCACACAACATGAAAAGACACAAGACTCGATTTTTCGTAGAAGTTTGACTTTTACTGTTTTAGAAATGACAAATTCATTTAACGTTTTAGCCCGAGAGTATGAAGGAAAGAGACCGCATGAGTGGCATAAGAGTAGATAGGATCTACGATGTATTTCTAAATTATTGTCGGGGTTTCCGCGACCTATAATTTTCAAACCGAAAAACAAAATAAAGGCTCGCATGTTGAAGTTGTTTAGCATTCTGCAGTATTGATTCTATAGATAATAAAACTTTCTGAGTTACATTTTCATATTCCGTAAGCAGTTTTATTTATATATATATATATTTTTCGGTTTGAAGATCATGGGCTACGGAAATTCCGACAATAATTTAGGATCACACTGTATTCAATGGATTTTGAAGAGAATATGTACAATATGACTGTGCCCAGTACAGTTTTGTTATAAGCAATAAATCCCTTGAACACATAACAGAAGTGTTGTAGTGTTATCTTGTTTGGATTTTCATGGGACCAGCAGTATCTGTCACGGGAAGCCGCTCTCTGTCGGCTGTACAGTTGACTTACACCACAAAACTTTGCTCATTATACTCGTGGTATCTCTTAGGGTCGTCTTGAAATGTTATTAAGGTCATGTCCCGCAAACTCCAAGCCGTACAAATCAGTGAGAAAATGAATAACCATAGAAAAATTTCCATTTCACATGTACCTTACTCACAAAGTCAGATGTTAGGATAAACACAGCAGGCGTGTGAAGGTATAACACCGAGAAGGATACACTAAAAGGAATGAACGTAAATTTGGAGAAGAAAGTGGAACGCAATTAAATAATTAGAAGTCCAAAAAGAGGATTTGCTGCTAAGTTCACAAGAAGCAACCATGTTCCCTGTTCTGAGCCAAATTAATTCAGAAGTCATATTTTCTGGGATGTAACGCCATATACGAGTAGTCTTTCAAAGCGAACCGACGTTTCGGAGTAAAAATTTGCCTCCATCTACAGGATTGAATAAGTCAAGTAAGAAACGAGCATGAGGAGGTAGCAAGCAGAGCCTATTTCATGCTCGTTTCTTCCTTGATTTGCTCTTCGGTCATGCTCACATAATCATGTCCAAACTCCGAAGCAATACTGTGACCACTAGACCACAAAAAAAAAACTCCATGGTTTTAGTCCGCAAGCGAACTATACCGACCGAGCCACCGCCGGTTTCATGCGAAGTTAGTGCCAACTTTAGCGGATAGAGGGTGTCGCGTAGTGAGCGCAACGAATCCTCACGTCCATTAATTTCGGTTTTCTAGACCGGATCCGCTATTTCCTTGAAATAGCTCCTCAATTATCCTCACGAGGCTGAGTGGATCCCGTTCCAGACCCACTATTTCTCAGAAAATCTGATAGCGCCGGGAATCGAACCCGGACCTCTGGATCTGTAGGCAGGAACTCTGACCACTAGACCACAGAGACGAGAAAATTCAAAGGTATGACGAAACATAAACACAGGTGCATTCAGCACCATTATGAATCCAAACAAAAAAAGGAAAAACTTGAAACGATTATATTCCCGAATTACTCCTGAAGGGATTAACTAAAATTAGAATACTTTTAACAAAAATCACCAGTATCAGATTTTGTTAAATTCCATTCAGTGGTTCTCGAGTTGTTACATGCGGACAGATAGACAGACATGGCGAAGATATTAAGCCTTTTTTTTTCGTTTGTAAGTACGAGTGTCTGTGCCCCTAAAAGTAACTACAGGTTCCATATCAGTTCATGTTAGGAACGTGGATACTTACCAATGTTGTAAACATGTAATGGTATCTGTAGTCATTCATCTGCAGTTGCAGGATCTGAAACAGATGAAATTGACATGTTGAGATTCATGGTTTATTAATGATGGTATAATCTATTTCTCTTGCTTAAAGCGCCCGTAATACCTCTGTACGTTAAAATGTTATTCTCATGATTTATTGAGTATTGAGTATTGAGTATAGAGGGGGCGAGTTTCCCCATGCACTTAGTCCAGTTATTGGTCCACTGTGCGTCCCCCTTTTAATTTCTACTGTCACCATACCCTACCGGTGCTGGTGCTTGCTATTAGCCCCTTTCTGCCAGCGAAGTTCCAACCTTCTTTTGGCAGTGGTATCTAATACTTAGTCCCTTTCTGTCAGAGAGGTCCCCCCTCCTCTGGCAGTGGTACCTAATACTTCCCCATCTACCGAAGGCATTGGAAACTACTTTGGGCGGGAAACTTTTTGCCTAATTTAGCTTAGAGACCTCTTAGAGACATGAGGTTCTTTTACATGCCGTAAATCTACGACACGGGACCCACGGCTTAAAGTCCCTCCCGGAGGACTTGTTCCCTGAAATTTTCCGCCCTTAAAAATTCCACGACCTCCGCCGGGTTTAAACCCGCGTACCTTGAGTCATGAGGTGGGAACGTTACACCTAGACTACGGAGGCCGCTTTCTCATGATTTAACTAAATTAGCTAAATTCGTGCAGCTGAGCCCTTACTGAAAGGTCACCAGCTGTTTAACCACTCAACAATTTTCGAACATTTTATGGAACCAGAATGTTCATTACCGTTGTCACAAAGAATCCTCCACTGATCTCTACCCGAGCCGGATCAATCCAGCCCATACCACCACATCCTATCTCTCTAAGATCCATTTATCCATTTCAGTATTATCACGATTTATATGTGAAAGAGTATCTAGTCACGTGGTTATTTTCCGTGTTCTTATCTCTCCCGCAATGGCACATTAAATTCCCCCGAACATCTAAATTTGTCACTGGGGCATTTAAATTTAGGATTTTTTCCTCCATTATTAAAATGCAATATCTCAATCGTGCACAGAAACTATCGCTGCAAATCACTATGAAGTCTTCTTGCTATTTCATGTTCAATCACCCTGGAACCTCGGAAATTAACTAAAACTCTTCTCAGCTGCAAGCGGACTCGCGTTATATAGCCTCAGCAAGGACTACATAGAAAACACAGTTCTACCGTTGCTTGGCGTATACCAGACACTGCTACCTAGCAATTCATTGGCGCGCTGTCTGCTGCCTAGCAAGGAGCTATGACATTCATCCACAGAGACAGCTTCCATTGTTGCGCGTGGTTACGGAGCCGTTGCCTGGTAATGCGCTGATAAAATCTGTTACAGTATTTTGATAATGAAGTAATAAAAACCAGCAGGAGACTTTATTTGTCGGATAAATATGCCTTACTTGTTAAAGAATGGATTGGTTAGCACACATGAATTTCTAGCAGTAACATTTAAATTTAAATCCCTTTACACTTGAAAGTGTAGGGAGCAGCCTCTAGAACAGAAACATGTAAGACTTATTTTATCCAACAAATAAAGTTTCAAACTGCTACACGTTATAACTGATAACTTTTGTTACTTTCATTCTAAATTTTAAGTTAAACGGCTGAACTAGCTCATATAAAACTTAAACATGCGTCATTTCCAAACATATTTCATTCTAATATCAGAAATAATGAGAAACTTGGAGATTACATGGTCTTGAATGTGACTTTATGCAATTTTATACAAGTTTATCGACATTTCAGACGATCATGGTGCCTCCGTCTTCAGGGCATTTCAGACTGCACGCGGTTTCATCCAAGGGGCGGTATACACCATATCCACTGCAGTGAGAACCCCAAATCGAGATAAACTTGAGTCGTCTGTTTTTCGTGTCGCCGACTTGCGTTACTGACATATCTTCATGATTCAGTAGCCGTTCTTTATTTGTACACCCCTGCCTCACCTTATTTGTCCCTTCGGCTTAGTGACGATGATCTCTAAACCAAACGCTCAGTCTACACCATTGGCCTGTCATGATAACAATAACTGTCCCAAGCTTCATTAAATCTTCTCCTTACATACGCCATTAGCCGCGTTAAATGTCTTTCCTTTCCCACTAAAAATATAAAGTCAGTTACTTAAAAATAATAAGTCATCAAGTTAGAGACCGGAGGTATAGAGCTCAGTTTACAAGAGATGTATGGAGAATGGGTATCGTGAAATTTCAGGTTTCGTCTCACCATCCTTAAACTTTTTTCTTTTCCACACAAAACATTTTAACTGAGACACTTTGTGGCGTAGTACTGTGATTAGGCAGTTAATACTCAGCTTGTCAGTATATCTCGTAACTTCAATACTAATTGACACAAAATCTCTCAGATATTAAGCTAATTTATTAATTCAGACCACACTTTCATATCCTATCCACTTAAGGGCTATTTTGCTATTGGCCTTTCATCTGCGAAATAGGTCTCCATTCCTTGAGGATTAATCACCATAATTCTACATTAATCTCATTTAACCCATTTGTGCTACATATCCCTCCCATCACATATCTTTCTTTGTTCCGGTTACTCGTTAAATTTGTTATTGGACCTCTAAGGGTAAAAAAAAAAAAATAGAAGGTAAAGCTATTCCTGTAACAGGCCGTAGAGGCCCATGGGGTTGTGAGACGTCGAGGCTCCCACATTTTCCAGACAGTCGGCTTACAGATGGCGGCAAGGTTGTCAGCCTTACGCGCCGGCCGCCCTGTCCCCCAGGAAGATTCCTGGTACTCATTTCTGTTAGAAGCTGAGTGGGCCCCAATTCCGTAATGCGGCTGGAAGGATCAGGTAAATTGAAAAATCCAATGACATCGAGAATCGAACACCCTACCTTCCGGCTTGTAGCATAGTGCTTCAACCAACTTACATTAAACATTTGTCCCATGAATTTTACATTTGGCTTATCTGCCCAATATAAGTCCCGCTTTTCACGGAAACTTAAATTACACGGAAGTTGGCGGTGTATGCAGATAGTACAATTTATGAAACTACGGTGAATTGGACATGCGTGACCTGTCATTTACACAAAATCTTGGTGGGTGCAGGTCTTTCTAAATTTCCACTTCGAAGACGGTGGAGGGGATAGTAGAATAAAATTAAGATTTATCTTAAGGGGATTGGTGGGGTTAGGAAATTTTAAACTAACTCAGAACTGTACACGATTCAGTGTTGAACTTTCGGTTTCTGCTACCACATTCGTAGTTAACTAATTGTTAAAAGAATGAATTTTAATTGAGCATATTGGTATATCGTTAAAGAATCAAGACTTGCATTCGAGAGGTAATGGTTTGAATCTCGGTCGAGACACCGGATGTCCTGAATGAAGTTTACTGTGGGTTTTCTCAGTCCCTCGAGACATATTTCGGAAGAGTACCTCGGTTAAACCACGACTACTTCTTCCATGTTCTTTTCAATTTATAATTCATCGGTCGTCCTACCACTTGACTCTACATGATATCGAAACTGACAACGTCGTAAAACAAGCGAAAGAAAATAACATATTTCAGGCTTATAAAAATGTTTAATAAATAATGCAGAATGAATAAAAACAATAATTCTCTTTAGTGTAACAAACTTTTAATAAATGGATAAAGTCATTGCCGCTTTACATGTTTAAGCCGTGTAATCATTCTCATGAGAACCAATAATATGAAAATAATAAAAAAAACTTTACATGAGTAATTATTACATCACTAGTTTACCCTGGGGCGTAAAACCGCCGGGGTGTGAAACTGACTACTGACACTAATGCCGAGGTCGAGAATGGTGGTTCTATACCTCCACTCCCCATACGTCTTCTTGGAGTAGTGCTTAATTAATTAAACACAAGGAAGATGAAGGATAATATTAAAATTTAGTATTTAATATAACCGAAATAGTTGCGCTCTGACGTCAGAAGTGAAACCGGAAGAGCTCAGTCTGTATAAGGATTGAGTGTGGGCAGAATGGCCGGGGTTCGTTTCCCAGCAGAGGCTAAAGATTTTTCTGTTCTCCACAGCGTCAAGGCCGGCTTTGAGGCCCACCCAGGCTCCTATCAAATGGGTGACGGGAGCTGTTTGAACGGAGGTAAAGCGTCCAGGGCGTGAAGCTTGCAGCTGTAGATGGTTTTTCATCTGAATAATAGATTCACGTGTTTTGCTATGGAAATTCCAAGAGTACAATGACGGACTGAGTGTGTTACATTTAATGTTTAACATTCAGGATGTGCTCTATAGAAATACAGAGTGGATTTCGTATCATGCGAAGAATAGTACTTACTGCCCTGAAGAACCGGTACATATGTCGTGGATTTGTGTCCACGATCAGCTTAAAGATCTCCTTGTGCCTTATCTCACGGAGCACCTGCCTGTAGGTACCAGGCGTGGCTTGTCTTATGTACATTTCAGTGCGCATTGCTGGAGGAGCCTTCACCAAATCCTGAAGTTTGATCAGACCTGTAACATCCCCACCACTCATCACAGGACACATTACGAAGCGAAGTATACATACATTTATCTACTTTTAATAATCACAAGCTGGAAATGCGAGGAATATTATGAAAGTAGCCTCCAGTTCAGCTGTTAACAAAACAAGGAATGAGAACATGTGTTAATTATATACGACAATACGCACACACCTAAGCTACTTCTCAACCTAGTCGCCGCCGAAATTGAGGCATTTATCATACGAGGAAATAAGTTTTTATATGCCTTTGTCAAAGAAGTGTGCCACCTGTGAAGCCCGCTACGTTTTGGCACCTACCATCAACTCCTAATTACTGTTGAACCACTGTGATCGCTCTTGACATAACCCCACAGGAAAAAATGCAATGGTGTTATGTCTGGTGAACGTGGAGGCCAAGGCACTGGAACGTCTCTGCCCCTCCACCTTCATGGAAATGTCCTGTCTTGGAACGCGATTTTTTTCCTGTGGGGTTATGCCAAGAGCAGTGTGTTCCGAATACCAGTTAACGGACTTGATGACGTGAAGACCCGACATCAGGAGTGCGATCTCGCTATTCCAGCGGACATGCTCCACAGAACATAGCAAGAGCTCGAATATCGTCTGGACGTTCTCCATGTTACCAAGGGAACCGACATCGAGGTCTGCTGAGGTCAATAAAAAACTTCTAGAGTTTCACTATGATCTGCCGCAAACCGCATGTGGTAGTTTGTTTGCGCGCCACATTTCTTTCAAAACCCAGACGGGATTTTGTGGACACACTGTATTTCTATTTTACAGATTTCTAGAATATTCGTGTCAAAATCAGGAAACTATTGTTACACTATTTGAAGGATTTTTGTTTCGCTTTGGAAATCATACCCTACTGTAATAAGTGGATATCGTCATGCACGTAATCTCTAGTAATGAATCGTTACTACGTATTGCCTGGCTGGCACTCAGATGTTTATTCGCGACCAAGCCAAGATATACGGTACTGCGTTTTCTGCATTAAATGCCAGACAAGGTTAACTGAACACGAGAACACGATCCAGGCTTTAGTTTTCGTTGTTGCTCTACTGTAATGCGCTTGTCTGTTGTCAAATGGAAGCTGTTCAAAATCACTCAGAGTTAGCACTCGTTAGAAGCCGCGCCATAGCTCAAGCGGTTAGTCTCTGGCTTGGAACCGCAGCGGCCCGGGTTCGATCCCGGGGTCTGGTAAAGTGGGATTTGTGGTGGAGAATGTGGCGCTGGGGCAGGTTTTCTCCGAGTACTTCGGCTTCCCCTGCCAATCTTCATTCCACCAATCGGTCCACAATCACCCTCACTTATCATCTGGGGCTGGTACAATAGGCCAGAAGTGGCCGCAGTACAAGGGACTTAGTCCCACCCCACTAGCAATAAAGAAATAGTACTCGTTAACAGACATNAAGACTGCTTTCTTCATAGTCACCGCCGTGAAAGCCTCAAATCTTACATTTACAAATATCCTAGTTTTTACGTTGTGTGTGTGTGTGTGTGTGTGTGTGTAAGAACTGGACATCCTGCGTATTGTAGGATCTGAGCTTCTCACAGCGATGGTTATTAACAATTCTGTTTTCCGGGATATTACGTCGTGTAGTCAGCCGACGTTTTGGAGGAACCTGTAGCCTCAATCTTAAGAGGCGAAGATAAATCGAAGCAAGAAACCAGTCTGAAGCAGGTTGCAAGGAGAGCCACCTGTTTCACATTTGTTTCTTCCTTGGCTTATTCTTCGACCCTGAAGATGGAGGCGACATCCAAAACGTCGGATGACTTTCAAGGGACTCCATGGTGTTATATCCAAGAAAACAGAACTCTTCAATGCTGCGTATGGTTATGTCCTTAAAAGTGATATAAATTTTTGATTAAGTGGGATCATTTTAATGGTTTACATCGCTGAAATTAACAAATAATGTAATGTTATCCCTGTAACAGGTCGTGAAGGCCCATAGGGTTGTGAGACGTCGAAGCTCCCACATTTTGTCTACACAGTCGGCTCACAGATGGCGGTAAGGTTAAGGTTGTCAGATTCACGCGCTTGTCACTCTTTACCCCCCCCCCCAGGAAGATCCCTGGTACTCATTTCTGTTGGAGGCTGAGTCGATCACAGGGCCATAGTGCGGCTGGAAGGATTAGATAAATTGGAAAAAAATCCACCTCATCGGGACTCAAACCCGCGACCGTCCGGGTTGTGTCATACTATATTTATTATCTGCGATTAATTTAATGAAGCATTTTGTTCATAATTTAAAACTAAATTTAAAGCACTACAATTCTAAATGTTATATAAACATAAATGCTATTTAAACGGCAAAGCCATGCAGTTTACACGTAATAATGTAGGTAGTTTACTTCGCATAATTTTTATAAACGGGAGCCATTGTTTGTTCTTAATGAGGGAGTTTGTCAGGCAAAGGGGAGACTGTGTACATTTACTCTGCACCATATCAACATAGACAAATAAGAAATTAATTGGCTCTTAAGTTACAAAGAAGAGAGTCTGCTACATGAACTTCCAGTTTGCTTTTGAACTGATACAAATTCTAACCTTTAGCACCAATGAGCTCCGCTGAAATAGAAACGGAAATATAATAAAATAAAATTGGAACGTAAGCAATACCAATTAGCATTACACTTAGCCATGAGTAACCATTATGCAGTGCCGCACCATAGCTCGAGCGGTTAGTCGCTGGCTTCCCACCGCGGCGGCCCGAGTTCGATCCCGGGTCTGGTCAAATGGGATTTGTGGTGGACAAAATGGTGCTGGGGAGGGTTTTCTCCGAGTACTTCGGCTTCCCCAGCTAATCATTCCACCAAATTCTCCATCATAATCACCCGGGGCAGGCTACAATAGGCCAGTCAGTGGCCGGCGTGCCGAGTGGATCCAGTTGGACTCCACCCCCCACTAAACGAATAAAAAAACATGCAGACAACTGTACCATTTACAATCATTTCATCTGATTGTAACGCCGTGGAGCAGGGGGCGTGGAGGTACCCCTCCTGACCACCACAGCTTACGCTGTAAGGAGTTAAAACAATAATCCTAGCTTACCCTCAGCTAGGATTCTCCTGTTTCTGGGCTTCCTTCCTTACTTAAAGCTGCCACCATCTATTATATCGTACGAAGGTTGGTGAAAATACTAAGAGAGGTGATGAAAGTACCAAGGGCCGGTAGCGCGGTAGTCGAGCGTCCTCTGTGGGCTGGCCCTTTCATCACTGTCACTTCTTATTATTGGCGTAGAGCGGGCGTGTCAGGTCTGACCCGCCTCTACTTATCGTCTGTCATCTCTATGGTGGGAACTACCCCCTGACATATTGTCATAGCTCTCTCCTGACAACTCTTCATATAGTCTGCAGGTAGCAACGTATTGCATTATCATGATTCTTAAGTTCCGTTGATACCAAGGCTACTAAACGCTGCCTGTGTGGCAGGTGCCTATCCCTGTCCATTCCCAGTACCTCCCCTTAAGCATTCGGCTGCTGTTGCCTTTCATTTAGGTAGGATCCGCGGGATCGGTCGTGGAAAGGTGATTATGGAGGAGTGAATCACAATCCCGGTACATCCTACTCTATCTACCCTGTCTATTTACACTCTTATTTACATTAATTACAATATTAACAAGACCGACCTACAGTCGGGTCTACATAGGGTCTTTACTTCATCCTCCGCTTCCTCATGTTCTCCCTTAAAATACTCTGCCCGTAAAGTTATACATATTAAAAGCCCCCATACCATGTTTATCACAAAAATCATTAATCGTGACTATAACGCAACTGTGCGTCTTCTACACACTACCCGTAATCTTAACACTTACACCATAACACAGACATATTTCCGGACTATCTTCCTAGGCAATTACTTGTTACATAATTATTACTCTCCCCTAAGGGCTCGCCGAGCACACTGGAGTTTGCTTTCGATATTTTCCACAACACTTTTATCAACCATAATATTTAACAACATGGCTTATATGAGTAAACGTGACTTACTTGACATAAAAGAAGGCAGGCCAACTTCCAGCACTCGTCAGACCCATATTGAATAGCGCCTCCGGCTGACAACTGAATATTATGTTTGAGATCAGATCCCCAAGTCTCCTGAATTCGGCAGTTTATATCATTAACTTGCTGAATCGGCTGTTAACGAAAGAGGGAGGTTAACTCCTCTTTTTGTTCTCAATTCCCAAAGTTATATTCTAATTGGCTATTCCCTGTGGTTGTGGGTGGGCCCATGGTGTCTCATCGCTGCGTATTTAATAATATTACCATCTCCAGTGGCCCCGTTAGCAGAGCTTCTTACTTATGTGATTACGCATAAATGCTGATCATCTACATTCTTAACCTAGTTGCCTGTCCAGATGTTGACATACTAATGTAATGGCTGTAAAACACTTTTCGCAAGTCTCGAACATTTAGGTAATGCCTTAAGTTTCCAATCTCAAAATTGAGGCGCAACACTGATATATACCAGTATTGTTATATATTTTCGATCTCAATCTATTGTTTTAGTATAATAGACCACTGTAGTTCGCGGTGCAAGGGCCGAGAAGGCCCACTCCTTATACATTATACATCATAATACTATCATACTAATACACTTTATGCATTACAGTACGATAGCCGCAAAAATATACAACGACAGCATTCTTGTCATGAAACAAAACTAAACAACGACATGTATGGAAGCTCGATCGACAAGTGAAGGGTGCAGTGGTCTCCATGAAAACAAAAGAAAAAATGCCTGATGATGGCTCATGTGTGGCCGAAACATATTGTAAAGGGAAGAAACATATGAAAAGCTAGAAACATTTTAATCTGATAATCACTTTTAGTGTATAAGTTATACTTTTAACGTCTTAATGACATTTTATGATTTTAACAACATCATAAAGTTTCAACATTACAGTTTTAGTGAGAAAAATATTCAGATGTCTTTTATATTTTAAAATATTTTTGCATCATTTACAGGTGATTTTTTAATTTTTTTTTAATT